CCTACACTTTAGCTCCTGCTATACAATACATATATTACGCAATTCAGTGGTTAATCATGCCAACAAAACAAAAAGACTAATATCACACATGCAAAGCAATTACCACATAATAAAAATGTCCATCCAGCTATAAAGTTAATGCTTGAAAATGTGGAAAAAAAACTGTATAGCTGGCTTCTATCCAGCTTAAATCTGAACGTGTAGCAGGGCTCTTCAAAGCCCAAAGCCCTATTAGACTTTTAATGGAATATTTCAGAGTACTTCCATTGATAACAATATGCTAGCCATAAGGTGAAAGCTGCATGCTGGACCAAGAGAGAGCTCAGGCCTCATCTATGCAAACTTTACAGCTGTGAACCTATGCTCCAGGACACACAAGTACACATGAAACTAGAACAGGCATTTGTATGGGCTTAAGGTACTCGTTACATGTGAAGCAAGCCTGCACACCTTGAACTATCTAATGCTTTCAGATGCTTTTTTCAAAAATCTCCCCACAAAGTTTATCACTGGATTCCAGCCCAAAGATTATAATGGCACACATTTCTATGTTTTGTTAAACTCTGTGTTAAACAGAAGCAGAAGATGGTCTAACAATAAGAATCCAAGAGAGCTGGCCTTGCATTTTTCACTATATCTGAGGGAGATTAAAGGGAAAAAAAAAAAAGACTACCACAAACAGTTGAGAAAAGGTAGCACCTCTGGACCTGAAATTTTAAATGTTCCAAACTTTCTACTAATGAAAGAATTTTAGTTTCTTCCTGTCCACTTATCTATCCCGACCTCAAATCACGCACAGATATTTGGCACCTTCCTGAACATACCTGAAGCTGTGCCACAGCAGGGCGGTACCCACCAAGCTGAAGAGAAGATGCTGGTGATAACATCTGGTGGAAACAGCGTAACATTTCTCTGAATCTGCAGCAAGTTTAATACTAATGCAAGAAATACACCAATAAAAAACAGCACTATTCCACGAATCACGAAGTTCATGCCATGACTGGTTATAGATGAAATGTATGGACCACACTTTTTGGGTTCAGATGATTTTTCTTCAGTTTCTGCCATGACTTCATATGGTTTCAGAGACATCCACCAGAGGATCCCCTTGTTGTCAGTATTATGGCTCTCCTCAATTAGGAAATACTCCAAACTCTGCAAAATACAGAAGGCTGATAAGGCAAACTTTAAAAATTACATAGCTTTAACTGGTTAGAGAAAATAATTAAGATTGGTTTAACATAATAGTTTTTAAACCATAAATCAAACTTTTCTGAGTTTGAAGGTAAAATGCGTTTTCTGCAAAAGAAAGGAAATCTCACAAGAACCAGTTCTGCAAGCCACAACATCCTAATATGATGACTATGATCATAAAGATAAGAGATTTTTACAAAGAGTATTATTTGCAGAGGGAAAAAAAACCCATCAAAACAAGGATGATGGTATAGCTGTTAATGGGGATCACAGGGAACAAGAGGAGGAAATAAAAGCAGGCGAGGTTGCTTCCCAGAGAAGATTAAGTTTGTGACTGCTTTGAGGTCAGGAATAGGAAAATGAAGAGATTACATGGCTCAAAAGAGAATGAACAAGGCACCTAGACCCAAGGGAGCAATGGCAACCAAGTTACACACTACTTTGATCTTCCAAAAAGCCAGCAAGCACAGTTTGCTGGTTCTCAGCAGGGAAATGAAATTCGAGAAAAAGTCAGAGCTACGTTAAGCCAAAAGTGAACTGACAACCTTTGGGATATCTAACAAGAGAAAGTGGGTCTCCACCAGTCAGAGGGCAAATTACCAAAATTCGCAGCGGGCAACACAAATTTCACCAATACTATAATGTGAGGTTAAGAGAAATGATTTCCTCAACCATAAAATAAGCTGCATGCAAAGAAGTAAAGAAACTCCACCTTCCCATCAGCAACAGAGCACTCTCTACATGACTAGCTCTGTATAGAGTATATGAATGGGAGAATTCCCATCTCAACCACCTTTTTTAAAACTGTCAGTCAGAAATCTTGTTATACACGAATATGACACTGAATCCGTGTATAACAAGGATTCTGACTGACAGCTTAGCCACCTGGAACTTTAAAGAAAAAAACAAACATTGTTTTTAAATTTAAAACTGCCAACTGGTGGCGGCTTTTGATAACTCTTACTTATGGCCTTGTGGATGGAGACAGAGGAAGGAGATTGCTTGCTTCCCCCATTCCACCCCATTGTCAGCAAATGCGCAAGAGGTGCTCCAACTCCATGGTTACATGCCATTCGGTGAGAAGCACTATGCCCAAGACAGTCTCCATTTTTGAAGATCAGGAGTCTTGGAAAAAGTACAAATGGTTAGGAATAGCAAGTAGAAAGCTCCATACACTCAGACAAGTTAAAACACACACAGCAACCAACTCCAAGAGGACATTACACACATTCTGGTGACCTCGATACCATCCTGTAATCTACAGCAGTGGTTCCCAACCTGTGGTACAGGTACCACCAGTGGTACATATATAACCTGTCAGTGGTATGTGTTAACAGACTTATTATAATTACTTTAATAGGTTTCATAGACATTAGGCTGAAAGGGGCCTCGTAAGATCATCAGGTCCAGCCCCCTGCCCCAGCGGCAGGAAGTCAGCTGGGGTCATAGGATCCGAACAAGATAAGCATCCAAATGTTTCTTAAGAGTGTCCAGAGTAGGTGCTTGCACTTTATATGACAACAATTTGCTGGTGGTACTTAAGGGTGTATCCTTTTAAATTGGTGGTGTGCAATCTGTCAGTTTGGGAACTGCCGATCTAGAGTTCATAAAAAAATCCAACAGATTTTTGGGAATGTTACCAAAGAGGCAAGGTAAAAATGTGCTGAGCTCTCCACACAGAACATCATGCTTGCAGATTTGGACGTCAGCAGACTCTTCCAAGAAACAAAGCCCTTGTTCTACTTCTTTGCATCTGAGTTTTATTTCAGTCTAATTACATACATGTGTCAGATGCAGGTGCAATGGTGTTTGGCTTCTGAGCCATAGCCTGAGGAGCAGCGAGTGCTGAGACACCTCCTCAATACTGGGAAGACAGTTATTACCATAATTTCAGCAGCACAACTTTTGTAACAACATTCTCTTGGAGATCTGCTTCAGACATAAGGGGTGCCCCTCTAGCCATTTTTCTGGGAGGGACCAATGCTGCAAGGGGAACAAGAGTAGCGTACTGAGCTACCAGGAAAGAAAGTGTGCCCCTAAAGTCCTGCCATGTCAGGCCACTTAAACGTGTCTACTTGATAAGTGACCACAGGGGTACGTCCAGTGCTTACAGAGAGGGGATGTCTCAGTATCAAACATAGAGAAGCCTCAGTCTCAAGTGGGACCTCTAGCAGAACAGGGCTAGAAAAAAATCTTCTGAGTTACCAAGTCCAGTCACCGATCGTCAAAGGCTACCACATCATACAACCCCTCTCATGGACTGCTCAAGCTTCATCTTCAGACTATGAGGTGTTTTGCCCTTATTGTTCCAGAACCTCCCAACTTATGTTTAGGAACCACTTTTCAATTGTCAAACTTACTAAATTTATTCGTGACCAATTTACACCCATTTGTTCTTGTGCCAGCTTTATCCTTTAATACAGGAATGTCAAACACCCAGCCTGCAAGGATAGCTCCCAGAGATGCCATGAAGTTGCAGGGCGGGTTCATCAACAAATTTCTAGCTACGGAGTCCCACCAGGGACGCATGTCAGCATCGGAGGGGGTGAGCAATGGCTGCATTAACCCCTGGGCCACATCTTGCCCCACTACTGCTTACCTCTTTGGGATCTGATGCATGGGAAACAGGTGTGTGTGATACCCCTTCTTTAACATAAAAAGTTATTTTTTCTGCCTGACGTTTTCCTTTTTGGTATATTTATAGATAGGGGTCTACCAAACTCAAGGAGGTGGCTGGCTGATTTCACAGGCAGATTGTGGGGCCAGCTGCCATTTTCATAAGCTGAACGTGGTAGGGGCCCCCTGTCACGGGGTACCCAAAAAATTTTGAAATTACCCCACTCTAAGGGCAGCCTGCCCCGCTCTTTCCTGCCATGCCTTGAAGTTAATAGATCTATAGATTGCAGGAGCCTGCCCTGATCTAACTATGATGACCACCCACACCTGTGGTCTTGGCCTCATGAACCAATCACATGGCTCCG